TTTTCAGTCTTATTTCCTCCTGTGCTTCTTTTCTGAGTCTCTGTCCTCTACCAGACCTGGCATCAATCTCCTACTTTGCATCACTTCAAAGACACCCAAGCATTTTTGCCTGGGTTTCACAGCTTGGATTTAAGTTGATTAAATACCAGCCAAACACTCTGGGTCCAGCGCTCGATTCATTTGCCATTTCTTCAGCTAACTGTTTTGCGGGTTTGGGATCTGTGTAATTTTGTGTGCACTAAGATCATCGCTCCCTGTTTTTCATCTTGAATGTATTTGCAACTCCTATTGATCGCAGAAGCGCCACGATGCCTCTTGGTCTCCCGCTCTTAGTGCAATGCAGCATCCCTGGATGCATGGAAAACTGCAGCACAGCGTGTTTAAGGGACATGCCCAGGGAAGTGTGGGCAGGGAATTTTTTCCCCCCCTTCTTGCAATCACTTTTTGCAGTCACTTGGAGCAGCGAGTTGCGAGAATCACCAGACCCTGCGGGCGCCCAGCTGCCTGATGCCTCTGACACTGATTTATATTTTGGTTAATTGTCTCCATCCATTAGTCTCCTCATCCTTCTCCCTGTTAAAGACGCAATCAGCACTAATGTCTCTAAATGAAGCGCATTTACGAGGCGCTGCTCCCGCTCTGGATCCGGCCTGGGATGACATCTCTGGAAGCTGCCACCACGTGAGCGTCTCCGTGCGGCAGGTCCCCATCCAGGTGTCCCATTGGAGCAGGGCAGCCCAGGCTTTTGGCTCTGCCCAGCCTCACTGGAGCAGCCGAGAGCCTGGGCTGTCTGCTCTGTTCTCATCTAATCCCCTCCTTGAGTGGCCAGGGGACAAGATCGGACCAGGATGGGTCTTGGAGCGACGGCGCTCAGCTCAAATACTGTCACTCTCAGGTCTCTCTTAATGATATTGCTCAAAAAAAGGCTGTTTTCCCTGGAATTGAGACACATGGGATGGCTGCACGGTTGCTTTCCACAGCATCCCGCATGGGGCTTGCTCCTAATTCATTTATAGGTCCTAAGGGACAGCCGGGCTTAGCAAATGTGACAGCTCGGTGGCAGTCTCCAGCAGATGCTGCTGCTCTGAGCACAGGTTGCAGCTCGCACCGTGTCCAGGCGAGGATTGGACTTGACCTCGTGAGCTGCTTGTGCCATAGGAAAAGCCTTTATCAGAGCTTTATATGTTCTCGGAGGGACATTTTTGTCAAGAAGGGATCTCGCCCCTTCGTTAGCCGTCAGTGCTCACTTCGTTTGCCATGTGAAATCCTCATCCTTTTTTTTTAACATTTAGCTCCTCTGCACAGCTGCTAAGTTTGATGTTGCACAAACAGGAAGATCCTTCAAATAGGGAATAAGCAGCAGCACTTTGGCTGTAATCGAAGGTGCAGGAGGTCATCTCTACTAGACATGTTTAGATTCACTGCCCCAGCACAGGGCTGAGTGAAGCTTCGTGTTATGGTTTGAGGTGGGATACGTGTTGGATGTGAAGTTCAGGCTTCACACTCCTCTAGTGCAGCAAGCTCTTTTGTAAATCTTTAGCCACCAAAATAGCAGAAATATCTGAAGAAGGTGTCCCATGAGCAGAACTTCCAGCGTCTTGAGCCAGATGTCACAAGAAGGTCCCGTGAGGCTGTCGGTGACACGGAATTGCCTCCCAGTTTGAGGGCAAACTCGCCGGTGGCCAAGCAGCCACGGGCTTCCTGCAATCCCTAGCAGTAAGTGCTCGCTTTTCCATGCTTATTTTAACGCAGGAGCAGAACTTGGTTCTGAGGTGAATGTGACTCAAAAGTTGTGCCTCAGAACAGGCAGATTCCTGTGTTTTACCATAGGACCCCAACCGTTTCCGAAAACCGCGCAAAGTGAATATTGCTGCGGCAGCCTGAAGCCTACAGAAAGCTGTTTGTCTCCTCCTTGACCTTTCAGGGGATCTGTATCTTGCTCAAGCCCCCTTCTGTAATCCGGTATTTAAAATATAATATTATGCTACTGGAAGGGATCAGACCTTTAATCTGATTGGGGGCGCATGTGTGTTTGTGCACGCACGGCCCAGCGTCCCTGGCAGCGGCCTCAGCCTGGGGTGCCAGCGAGCTCCATGTGGCACCAGGAACCTCTGCACACAGGTGGGGACATCCCCTATGCAGCAAGGACCTGCCCTGTGGCAGCAGCTTCCTTCCCACCGCGGTTTAATTATTATCAGCGGCCTCAGCCTGGGGTGCCAGCAAGCTCCATGTGGCACCAGGAACCTCCGCACACAGGTGGGGACATCCCCTACACAACAAGGACCTGCCCTCCCCAGAGCCTGTGGCAGCAGTTTCCTTCCCACCGCGGTTTAATTATTATTTTTAATCGTGCGTCGGCTCTGCCTGCTGGAGCCCCGGGCTGTAGATGTCCTGTGCAGGGTCTAGGGAACGTGTGAACCTGCAGGAGCAGGGAGCCTTTTCCCCAAGGGACTCTCTGCTTTTGCAAACCCGTTTCCCTGCGTTGTCAGCAGGCTGGACACAGCGAATACCCTGTGAGCCCAGGGCTGGGGGGTGGTTGACAAGGCTCTGCAGTTATCCCAGGGCTGGGCCCTGGCTATGAGCCCTGTCCCATTGCACCAAGCATAAAACCAGCCTGGGACCAACCTCAGGCTGTCAACCCTTCAAGCTAGGACTTGCTAAGATATTGCTTCCTGCACGGTGACGCTTTTAAATTTAAGGTGATGGGGGAAAAAAAAAAGCCCTAAAAGCTTACATTTGGGATGAAAAAATAACAATTGTGGTGTGAGAATATTCCCTTCCACCTAGTTTTCCTGTTTGCAGGGGGAGTATTGCAGTGTTCTTCACTCTTTGCACTTTGGAAAATCAGCTCCCCTTAAGGAGTTGCCGTGCTCTTTCCCAGAGCTTTCAGTGGTGGGTAGAGCCATTCCTTCTCCTAGCTCTGCTAATGTGTTTACATATCCGAGGTGCTTGGGGCTCGTTGGGGATGCAGGACACTCGGCAAACGCTAGGATGTAATTATCCCATTTTTCTCTTCCCGCTCCCTGCCTTTCTCCCCGTCTCCTCCGCCCTTTGCCAAGCGTGATGCTGACGGCAGCGTTTATCTGCATTTGTCCTCTGTCCCTGACACCCAGTTATTGATTGGCATGATTAAAAAGAACTGATAATCACTTCACATTAATCCCATAAATGACTTAAGACACCCAAATATTTGCATAATGCATCTTAAAGGTGGCAGCTAAAAGCGGATAAGACCCAAAACTGCTTGGCACAGGAGAAATGGGCTTCCCACTCACCTGTGGGCTTGCTTAAGTAATTAGCCTTCTGCTTGCATAAGGAGGAATCCAAACTGGTTTAGCAAAGGAAGATGCAAGGGGGGCTCAAAGGCTTTGGGATTTGAGCATCCGACCTCGGTGCTGAGATGGGGGGAACGCGACGGCGGCTGCGGGACCGGGAGCCTGTTTTTGTCTGCAGCGCCCTGTGAAAATCTGGAGCCAGACGCCTGCTGAAAGTACCTCTGTCTAAAGACTTTCTGTCATAAACTTATCTGATTAGCAGCCAGCTAGACGAGAGATTAGCCCCTGCTTCTGCGCTAGGGATGGGCTCCGGGAGCATCCGATCCCGGCGCCCGGAGCCGGGGGAGCAGCGGGCAGGAGGCGGAGGGGGGATGAGAGGGGGGTATTTAAAGATGAGCACGGGGTAATTCTGCAGATAATGCACCCTCGGGGCCGGCCCAGGTGAGGACGCGGCGCCCGGAGCGCGCGGCCATGTGCTGCGTGTCGCGGTGGCGCAGAGCCGCCGCGCTCGGCACGTGAGTACAGCCCGCCGGGGCACGCAGGTGCGCGCGCTGTGCTGCGTTTCTCACCTACAGATATTCTCCTTGCAAGCGTCTCCTCTTTTTTTCTGGCTGTCATCTTCATTTGGCAGGAGAAGAGGAAGAAAAATAGCTGCGTTTAGCTTGGGGCAAGCACCTTTTGCTAGAAAGATGGGTGGTTTAGCATGCACCGCCAACCAAAAAGGGGATATTTCAGTTGTGTGTGTATGTTTTCAGCTTCTTGTTTCTCCTTGGTGTTTGTTTATTATTTTTTTTTCAGAAATGCTATGCAAGAGGATAGGGGGTTGCAATTTGATGTCTGAACAGTAGTATCTGCTGCATGGAACATCTTTTTGTATTTATGCTGTCCCATTCCACAGAAGAGACAGGAAAAAAAAAAGGACTTAAATAGCCTACCTAGCAGCAATTGGATATGAGAATAGCAAATTACCAAATTACAAAAAATAATAATTAACCATCCTTATGCATTTTTGTATTTTTCTTGTCTTGTAAGGAAAAGGCCTTTTTTTTAAGGGTCTGCTAGAGTGACGTTGAAACTTAATTTTATGTAATAATTAACCATCCTGATGCATTTTTGTGTTTTTCTTGTCTCGTAAGGAAAAGGCCTTTTTTTTAGGGTCTAGAGTGACGTTGAAACTTAATTTTATAATAGGTTTGTGTCCTTAGTGATGCTGATGACCAGGTTCATGGTGGGTTTGTCCCTAAAAAGAACTTTCTTTCAAGCAAGTAAAGTAGTGTTGTACTCTAGCAGTGATAAAATGGAAAAAAAAACTTACCTTCTTCAGAACAGAAGAGTGGCAGCTGATAGAAAGCTATCAGTTATTTTGGTTCAAGTTTCCTATTAATTTGGGTTAGATCTACCAATTCCTACGCTTCCAGTTTTTCCATCTGAGATGTAAGCTCTGGCCCTGACAAGGTGCATCAGGCAAAGCTGAAATTAGGAGCTCTGGCACCTGCAGAGTATTTATGCTTTGTTTTGGGGGGAAATGCTTTGTATTTTGTCTCTGCTTGCCAAAATGAGGAGAACCTGATGGGTAGAGGGGGAAGAACCTTCCTTGCAATGCAGAGACGTCAGGGGCAAACAAAGAAGCTCTCGCGCGCGCATGCTTATGTATGTACACAAAAAATCAATAATGTGGCGGCAAATAGGATTTCCTTAACTTGGTGCTTTTCTGCTCTGTTGCAGCCGTGATAACGACCTCTCCACTATCATCTCCAACCTGCATCAGAGCCGCCAGCTCGTTATGCCAGAGACCCAGAGCCGCTGCGAATTCAAGAGAAACAGCATTGACGTTGGCCTGGGAGCAGCAGGTAGGCAGCACGTCTGGAGGGCCTGGGCTCGTTGGCTTCCCTGCTCTCACCCGCCTTGTTTGTGTCTGTGCTGTTTGTTTGTTTGTTTATTTTCAGTAGCTCCTGTTTTTCTTACTGCTCCTTGTGCTGCGTTTTCAAGTGGGCTTTGTGAAATCTTGTAATATTCTGGCCAAAGATTGTCCTGGAAAGGATTTCTTGGTGATGGGAGAGTGGTGCAGTCTTTAGAGATCTCAGCCCTGCTTCATTTTCAAATCTATTGGCCTGTGCTAAACTACTGGCAAGGAAGATTGCTCCAGCAAAGAAGTGAAATGTCCCCAGGGTTGGTGTCCGCTGAAGCAGAGAGGCATTGCAGAGAGCATGGTTTGATTTGTAATTTCATTAATCAGAAGTTCCCCACGCTGCCTCCGCGCCTGCAGACGGCTCCGTGAGTACGTTTGGCTTTGGATTGCTACATCCCCATTTCTGGAAGCTCCCCTGGCTTCAGCCTACGTGGCCTGATGAAAGCAGAGATGCTGCTCTTGGGCTGTGTGCTGGGCCCATGGGGTCCAGAAGGGACCTATGGGCAGGGATGCTCAGCTGGTGCCTGTGCATCAGTCACCACGTGAGGTGACGCTGTAGGGATCTGCTTGTTTGCAGAATCCATGATTTGCTTCTGAGAATAAAATACGAGAAGTGGGAGGAGTGGTATTTTTACATCCCTGCTCTTCCAAATCAGAATTAGGTCTCTCTGTGCATCTTAATATAGGCCTTTCCTGAAAGTCTGTTTGGGTGTGCTTCTGTGCATATGGTCTTGCAAGTCATTTCTGTTGAGGCTGTAGCTTAACCCAGGTGTGAAGTGAACACCAGGTCCGATATACTCGGAGAACAGGATATTCAGGAGTGCAGGATATTCAGAAGCATCATAGACACCTGATTGCCCCTTTGCCCAGGGCTTGACCTGCATTAGAGGTGCACAACTCATCTCATTGCTGCTTTTTCTACATAGCCCTGTGTAGGAGCCAAACTGGGAGGTAAGTTCTGGGTGCAACGTGGTGCAGGAAGGTGGAGGAGGACATGGAGTTGTGGTGTCCTGGGTTCTAGTTCTGCCTATTCTACTGCTCGTGTGTTGCTGACCAAACTGTTCACTTGAATCTGTACGTCTCAACTGACCTCTTATGTTAAAAGTATTTTGTTTGCTTCATGGAGAGGCTGCTGGGTTTTATCAGCGCTGCTGAACTGCTTCGAGATCTGTAGTGTTCCAGAAATGTAAAGGGTGCTTTTTATTCCCATCAGTATTAAGCAGGTAGAAGTCTTCATTCTCATTTGCTTCAAGTATAAATGTTTAGGGCATGAGAATCCCACCCTCCGAAAGGCATTTGGAGGTGGGCAGTGGTGAATAAAGATGTTAAAACTCTTACATGTCTCTCATGGCTATAAGCTGCAGTGATTTAAAAGTAAGTTCAAATCTGATGCTGTTTTCCACGATTTGCTTGATTTATTTAAGACTAGGATCAGAAGTAGCGTGATGGTTTAGACCAGCCTGGGCTGGAAAATGGGAATTATTACTGGATCCTGAATGGCCTTCGAAATGCAGAAAGGGGCTGAAGCCAGTGGAAAATAATGTCTTCCAGTTACCTCTGGTGCTCTTGTGAGTTCAGGGCTGTGGGTGACACTAGAGTTGGGTCAAAAGGAACTGGAAAGACTGAGGTGTTTGAGGATCATTTAAGGAGTGTGACAGAGAGAAGGCAGATGCTGGAGGTGCAGGGAGGAGAGGTTTGCCTGGGGGTTCCCTGTGCTGGTACATGCACCGGGACAAGGGCCGGAGGGGCGTTCCTTCCAGCAAGAGTTAAGCTGTCAGCAACTCCTGATATTGGGCCTCTAAAGGACGAAAAGGAAAATAAATAAAAGCAAAGCACCAATGGAAAAGAATGATATACAAAAAAACAACAAATACCTCTTCAGCCAGGGCTATTCAATAGGACATCTGGAGCCCCCGGCCGGGCAGGGGTAAGGGAGGCTTTTGCAAGGGCAGCAGAAGCAGGAGGCTGAGACACGTGTGCTGATAGAATCTAATTGCCCCATCGATCGGCCTCGGAGCCGGGGGTGGCTCTGGCACTGATTGAGATATTCCTACGTGTTTGAGCCACGTTAGCTGCATCTCGCTGCTCTGGCTTCGCTGGGGACCTTAACATATAGAGATCTCTTAATCGTGCGGGGGACTTGCGTGTGCAGGGCCCGGTCTGCAGCCCTGCAGATTTATGGCAATTATTAGCACTGATGCACTCGGATTTCCTCAGGTCCCAGGAGCCCTGGCTTTCAGGGAGGAGCTGACCTGCTGGTAACGTTGAATTCTTAAATGGCTGGTGAAATCCACTTTAATTGTGGTTTGGGATTTACCCATCTGTGCCGTCCTGTCTGTCACTTTTGATGCCTCTCTGTGTGCCGTCTCATCGGGGTTGTCTTTCATGTTACTTTAGTTTTGACCTAGAGGTGCTCATTGCTGAAAGGTAGGGTTTGCTCTTGGGCAGAGATGCTCCTATTGCAGGAGAGGGAGCAACGATGACAGGACCGGATGCTTTTAATGACAACGGAGCCAGAGATCTTATCCAGCAGGGCTGAGGAGCACCAGGGCTGCCCAATGCATCCAACACGGCCTTAGAGCCCCTCTGAGCAGTGCTGTGTCTGTAAACGAACCCAATCCCCTCTATCCACTGTGGTTAATGTCCTTCTCCCTGCGTGCGGATGCACTTTGCACCCTGCCTTGGGATTTGAATATTTATTTTGCACTGGGCGCTGGTCCCCAGCGCCTCAAATCATTTCTCCCCTGAAGAAAAAACAAAAAAACAACCAATGAACCCCCTAAAAACTCCACACACATTTTCCCTTTCTCTCTCCTCAAATACCTTCTGTGATCAGATTCACATGTAGAACTGGTTTCAGAGTTTTCCTTGACAAAGCGCGTGGTTGTGGCTCACATGCACAGAGCTGTAGCTGGCCAGACTCGTCGTTTTGCTCCATTTGGGCCCCAAACTCAGGACCTGCTGCCCGGGGAGTTTCCCCATGACTTGGTTGGGCTTTGCCCTGCAGCCTCAAGCCTTCCTCCGCTGAGGAGGAGTTAATCTTGGGGGCAAGTAAGAATAGGGATCAGGGATGTTACCACTAATGGTTAGAGACAGAATCACCGCGAACGCCTGTTTTCCGAGCGTGCGATAATGAGCTGGGACGCAGGCGTGTTTTCACTTAACAAAGCAAAACAACAACAAGGAAAAAGCAGCAGCCTTTATTGAACTGCTGCCTTAAATTGAGCAGAAAATCAGCACCAAATGGGCGCCTGGGAGATGCAAGGCCAGCACTGCTGTGTTCTTGCTTTGCAATGCAGGAGAGCTGCGTGTCCCTAGGTGAGGGTGCCCAGCGTGAGGGCCGGGGCACTGTCCTCTTGCCTTGGATCTGGGGGTTGTCCCCTCCTTCTTCTCTATTTAGACCCATTTTTATTTCTCCTGAGGTTCGCTGGGATGGGAGGTGAGCAGCACCCTTCTGTGGTGCGGGATGAGGGTTTGGGAGGTGAAGGAAAACTGGGAAAGTGCAGCATGGAAACGCTTGGCTCATACTAATCCACATGTGGCGTGGATTAGTATATCCAATGTTGCCGGTCTGCTAAGGTTTTATTCCAGCGCAGGAGAAGGGAGGGCCAAGGTTCCTTCTTCCTTCCCTTCCATCCTTTTCTCGCAGCTGGAGAAAGAGCCAGATGGGAGCGGAGGCTCAAGGGTTAAGCTGCGGAGAGCTGGCTCATAAATTAACGAGGAATCTGCTCTGCGGATGCCCTGTCCCCAAACCCGCGGAGCGGCCGCGGTCCTGCTCCGCGGAGCCGGTTTGGCTGCGTGTTTGGCACGCTCGGACACGCAGGGACTCGGGAGCAGCCGTCCTAGGGCGGAGGGCTCGGGGTTGGGAAGAGTTTAACCCTTTTCTATGGATAACAGGAGGGATGTCTGCCTGTTTTGTTAAGTTTTCAGCTCTCCATCATCCTGCTGTTTCCATTTCTTCCCACTTGCTTTTCTCCTCTTTCCTGGTGTCTTTGACCTTTTCTTTCCATCTTGTTCATTATCAACCTCTCTTTCTTTTTTTTTTTTTTTTTTTGCTCCCCTTCCTTCCCTATCCCCTCTTCCTTCCCCTTCCTTTCCCTCCCCAGTTCGGTTCCCCCTTCCCGGCCCTCCCTGCATCCCGGAGCTCCTCGGGAAGAGGCCGGGTTGGAGGCTCTCCGTGGAGAGGCTCCTTCCCTCAAGCCAATCAATGGGAGCCTTGCAGCCCCGGTGGGGCCTGGCAAACATGAGATCAATAAGTTATTAGCACCATTCTGTCAGCTGTAATGTGGAGATTGATCGGGGCCGGGGCTCCTGCATGCTGCCTGGCACTTCCCCAGCCTGATAAAGATGACAGATTAAGGGAATAAGAAAAAGGAATTAAGGAGTCTGGCTGTCAAAGCTGTCACGGGCGGGAGGAGTGCTGGTTTTTCCAGGGGCGGAATGAGAGCAATTGGACATTTAAATGGTGCCACGCGTTCGGCTCCGCCAGCAGCTCCGTGAGGAATCGCTGTATTTGGCATGCACTTTTCTAAAGAGGTGTTGGGAGGCTCCGGGGGGCGGCCGGAGGAGGGGAAGCGGCTGCACGAGGTGGGAATACCGGGTTGCTGGCGCAGGCCGCGCACGGCAGATGACACCCAGGATCCCGCTGGGGAACGTGAGAGGTTTTCCTGCCTTCTGGCATGCTGGGGTGGTGCAGGGCTCTCCCGGTGCCAAGCAGGGTGTCTGTGGGCCAGGAAAGGTGCCAGTTTCCAAAGCTTTTTGTCGTGGTTTGGTAGAGCCAGTAAAGAGTGCAGTGCTGGGAAGAGGAGACGCTGAGGCTGGGCTTCCCGATGGGAGCAACACTGGAAGGGCGAGCGCAGGGACACGGGGTGGGAACCTCCCTTCCTTATGGGAATGCAATGGAGGTTGAGCCTTCTCCTATAGCAAACCTTCCCCCTCTTCCTGCTCTGCCCACTGGATCTCGCTCTTTTCTAAAGCTATAAAGAGTCCTCAAAGAGTCCCGAACGTCCGTCCCGCCCTTCCAGCCGCTCTCCTTAAATCCTTCCTGAGAAAGAGCAGGGTTTCACAAGTTTGCAGTTGCTAAAAAGCCTCTGCGCAGCATATAAAATGAATGCAGATCTCAAATGCAGTGTATCCTTTCCCTGAGTGTTTTTCTTGCTGTGAATATTTACCACCTTTCACGGCTCCCTGGGTGCTGTAAAAACGCGTTCCGTAGGCATCCGAGAGGCGAGGGGATGTTCGTGCTCCTTCTCTGATAAGCGACTTCATTACAGACAGGTTGGTGGATGGCTCCAGCGTCACCTGCACCTCCCTGGCTTGAGCTCCTTGGGAATTGAGACCCTGGGGAGACCCCCCGGGACTCCAGCAAGGCAAACGGAATGAGCACAAGGAGGTGGGAAGTAGCGGGATGCTGTTTGCGTGGTGGGAGGAATGGCAGATGGCCTTGTGGTTGTAGCCAAGAAATGAGATGCAGGCTCCTTCTCGAGCCTAGGAGGGTGGTGGATTTGTTATATGTGTGTAGTCTTCTACTCGGCTCCTGTTTTCTCCCACAACTTTGCTGTTGGTCTCCGTGAACGTGCACGTAGGAAGCAGTTGGTGACACCAGACCTACGTCTGGCTGGTGCTTCATTGAGTGTGTTGGGATCAGTGGTGACAACCATGGACTGGGGCCCAGTGGAGTCCCTGCCTGCTGCCGAGAGGAGTCAATGGGCCACAGGTTTGCCAAGGTCAAGTTCTCTCAAAGTGACCAGAAAGAGGAAAACCTTTGGCTACTTGATGCATTGAATCCTCCTTTGTTTTATAGTAAGAGACCGTTCACTTGTCACATTCCTTGGCTCCCTTTTTCCCTTCTTTTTCTTCCTGTTTCCAAAGTCACTTGCCAAGGGAAGCTTGAAGAGTAGTGCCCAGGGAAGAGATATTCGAGCTGAACATTTGCAGAGACCTTGGTTTGGGTTATGGGCAGGCCTGAGTCAGGAGTGCCCAACGTGCTCTGACTTCTCCAACATTCCTGCCAGTTGGAGTGCTCTAACACCTAGTGAAAGGAGCCTTCCTGCCCTGCAGAGCCTGCAGCCCAAATCCAAATGACAGCCAACAAGCACACACAGATGTGGGGACATGGAAGAGCAGGGAGATAACCCAGAGGAACACTAAGTTTGGAGCCAGCTGCCTGCCATGTCCGTGAGGACACGAAGCTGACGCGCTGGGTGGAGGATGCTCTTTGCTCCTATAGGGTCGGCTTTGAGCTCCAGCAGCATCTCTGCCTGCTTCCCTTCCCCCAGATCCCCCTATATGTATGTTATATATATACACATATATATTTTTGTTCCATTCTGGCCGCCCTCGGATTACGGCCCGTTGTTCCCATGACCTCGTGCTTCTCTCTCCTTTTGTTCCGTTGCTTCCCGCTGGCCAAGGATGGAGCCGGAGGCCTGCCAGATTCCACGTGGCTGCGCGGCCCCTGCTTGGCCCCTCGTGCTCCAGCCCTTGTGGTGAGCAGCCTCGGGAAAATCGGGGAAATCCCTGCTTAATCCCTGCTTAAAATCAGGGAAAAAGACCCAAACCCGTCACTGGTGAAGTGAGTCTCCAGGGTCTCTGCAAACCGGGAGCAGAAGGGCTGGAGCACCGGGGTGGATTGAGCGGAGCAGCCCTGTGGTTGTGTCGGAGCAAAGGGGAGAGGTGGATGAACTGAGATGCTGCCAGGACACCTCAGTGGGGTTAGTGGGAACTGCTGTGTCCTGGGTTTACATTGGGGAGGGGGCTCAGAGCGAGGGAAGATGTTTTCCTCCTCTTAAAATGACGTGGAAGAGGGTAAAAAAAGGGAGTTTTTTCCCTCTGTTAGATGTTGGCTGTCAGAGCCTGGGTGACTTCCCGTGTAACTTGGCTCGGGTCTGTGTTTGCTCTGGACGTCGGGCTCCAAGAGGCTTTCACAGCAAAGCCAGCAGCACGGACAGGGAGTGTGAGACAGCTCCTGCCCTCCTCATATTAGTGCCTGTTCATAACACGATGCTGCATTTAGAAGAACTTGCCGAGGTCCCTCCTTGGGGAGGTGACGCTTCCAGGTGACATTTTGCCCAACGTGGGCTCTGCTCAGACAAAACCCGTGCTGTCCTGGGCCTTCTAGCCACACTGCCACCACGGGGTCATATCTGCTTTCCTTTCTGGTTGCAAAGCCCATGAGTGATGCTTCTCTTTTTGGGCAGAAGTGTTATTCTCCTCCAGCTGACCTACTTTCCTGGCCTATTTCTGGTCGTGTAGCAGGTGAGAACCAGACTTTTTGTCCCAAAGGGCAGAGGGTCATAAAACTCGTTTGGATTTCTGGGCAGGCTGGGTCTTCAGGGAAAATATTGGACATGGTTTCCAGGAAAACTCTCCGGGTTGCCCTCTGCATGGCATGGCCAGACCATCCTGGACATGATGCAGTATCCGTGCAGGAGCCCCGTGCGGGTGGCAGGAGGTGATCGGGATGCTCTGGGCATCCTCCCCCTTGCTGTCCTTGCTCATGCTGTTGTCACAGCCTGGCTTTGCGACATTACTGTCCTACTGATAATGTCCTTCATTTTCCGCTTTAATATTAAAAAAAGAAAAAGATCTTGATTTGGTTTCCTTCCATTTGCAATACCTTGTAGACAGCATGAATGAAGGGCTCCGTGGGGAGCAGCTCCAGATTTGGGGTTCTGTTGCAAGGTTCTTCCTAGCCCAGGTCCTGGCTTGCCAAGCTGATCCTGCCTGCGGCTTTGGAGAAGTCTCCGCATGGGTAAATTGAGGCAGGAAAGTCTCTGCATGGGTAAACTGAGGCAGGAGGGTTGATAGAACTCAACCGGAGCTGAAAGGCTGAGTCAACACCAAGTGCTGCCCGCCGGCTCCGCCGTTCCCATCTATCCGCACTGTTTTGTGTCTTTACTTGGCGTTTGGCTCGCGGAGGTTGCAGTCCTCTGCAGTTGTCCCCAGGTTGTCCCTGCCCCTGCAGACCCGTGTCCTGGCTGTCTCAGTGGACACGGAGCCAAGGCCGACCCAGGACTCGCTGGATTTGAAGCCATGTGGAGTGACTGAGTGTGAAGGACAGTTGCTTGGCTTGAAACGTCACCTGGAACAGAAACAATTTGGTTGCTCTGATAAACAACCCCAAGAGGTTTTATAACCTTTCTTGACTAAGAAATTGCAGAAGCTCCGTGTGCTTATGGACACACAGGCAGGTGCAACGTGTATTTGCTCCAATATGGTACTTTTTGTGAGCTGTTTTTTTTTAAGATGCTGCATCTTTAACAAGCCCTTGATAGATGAGAATTTGATGCTTGCAGTGACAAACAGTCTCTTCCTTCCTGCCCATATGCAACATCATGCTTTCAGTTTCCCCAGCGTTATTATGGGAGGATATTGATTTTAAATCTGTTTGGGGACGCTGTAATTGTGTATTAGGTATTTCGCGTTGGTTTGTAGGGCTCCGCTAATGCAAAAGGCTTGAGCGTTTCCGTACAATTTAGAGAGGGAAGATTGCAAAGGACCTTGAGGTTTTCAAGAGGAGAGGGAGGGAGGGAGGGAACGGGAGCGCGCGGGAGCGCGCGAGCCAGTGTGTGCGGTAGGAAGATCCAGAGATCCGTGTTGTGCTTTTTTGTGTGTGTGTGTTGTTTTTTTCCTCCCCTTTCGCTCCCCCACTTGCTTTGCATCAGGGCATGAAAGCGGTGGAAGCACCAGGGGGACAAAAGGCACCCGAGCAAATGATGAAACTCAGTAAGGAGATCAACTGGATTCAGGATTTGCAGCTTGAAAACATTGCGTGGATCCGTGTGTGAATAGTCAGGGTGTGCTGTTGGACTGCGGGATTAGGAACGCAGAGCAAGGCTCTCAAGATGATGGTTTTTCTTACTTTATTTTTTTCCCCTTTGCCTGTAACGTGTGTGTGTGAGTGAGCAGGAAAACACCGAAGTGGCTCGGGTTGATCCTGCAGAGGAAAGTGCAGCCTTATCTGATACTCAGGCTTCTCCTCTCTCTTCTAGATGAAATTTTAGGCAAGAGAAGAGTATGTTCTCCCAACAGCAGCAGTGAGTGTCCTCTAGAGAGCAAGAAAGCCCGAAGCGAGTCCCCGAAGGGTAAGTGCTGCTCCTGCCTCCCCCATCCCCTTCCCCTCTTTTCTTAGGAGTGGAACTTAATTGCAACGAGGGAGGGAGCGCGGGGAGGCTGCGGGGAGGGAGCTGCGGGCTCGGGAGGCGACCAGGGCTCTGAGGTTTCTTTATCTAATCGGAGAGCGGCTTGCAGAGCAGGCAGGGAATTGCCTCTTAATTATATTATGATTTAAAAAGCAAGCTGCAGCTTTTGAGGCAGATCTTAGGGGTGTTTCGACTTTTCAGGCAGCGTGTCACGATTAGACGCTGAATATTAAAAATATACACGGGCTTATCGTGCTGGCATCTGTTCCTTTAAAAGGAAAAAAGGGAAGCTTAGCAGGGAGAATAGGGCTGCCTAGCTGTTCTGCATGCATTTATGGCACTGTTCCTATAGAGATGGAATCTGCAGAAGGTTTCTTTTTTTAGATATATATATTTTTAAAATCTGTTTTTTTTTTATGGTTCCTTGCTATAAACACGATTTTAAAACTTTCTTTACGACCGGTGGAGCAGGGTGGGTAATGGAGCCTGCGCTTAATGAGGTTGCGCAAATGAGGGTTTGCAGGCCCCTCGCTTGGTCCTTGGCTTTGTTGTTAAGTTCAGACTAATTAGCTGCCGGTTGTACCCGCCTCGGTCACTGCTGCCTGCCCTGCACTCTTTTGTCCTCCTAAAAAATTAAAAAATAAATAACATAAAAGGCAGGCTGGCTGCCTGGTGCTGGATCCTGCTCCGTGGGTTTGGAGTCCAGCTCCAGCAGCCTCGAGGTATATATTAACCAATCCAGGGAGTCCCAAAGGGCAGTTGTACGTGTCCTGAAGAAAACAGAAAACTTGTCCTGAAGTTTTCTTTAAAATAAGGGCCCGGATCCTCATATATAAGATTTATTGCAGAGGTTTGTACTACATCTTCTTAACTTGGCGTTATTTTCCTTTATATCATCAGTTCCTGACTCTTTGCCCCCATATCATGATCTGAAAGGCAAAATGCTCCAGGGATGCTGAATGGTCGTGTCACTTTGTATAACGTTACTAACACTGCCTAAGAACATGCTAAATCTTTTCTTCCTGTGCCTCTTAACTAATTATTCCAATTAAAAGCACCTTGTTTTTTACTGGTGTAAAAAGGTGTGAGGAGGTATGCTATGTGCTGCAACTCTTTACCTGTTTTCTTTGAGTTATTCATCTGCCCTTTTCCCGTTATTGTCAAAGTTTCTAGCGGATGTAGAGGCATATTCCAATGGGATGCTGCTCTGGATTCTGCAATGAGTTTGTTATATAGGAGCAAAGTTATTATATAGGAGACTCCTGTCACCCAGTGATGCAGCTGCTGTCTGCTTTCTTATTCTGCTGATATATTTTCTTGGTAATTCCAAGTCTGCGCACGCGGAACGGTGGGAAAGGTCCTGTAAGACCATCTGTCCATAAAAGTCCATATGTAGAAAACGAATCCAGGTAACAGCAACCTGTGTGGCCTGGAGGAGAACGGGTGGAACTTTAACCAAGCTGAGCGAAGCCAAGCTAGTGGTTTGGGATTCTCCCTAGGGAAGGGCCCGGACTTGCACAGATCGGTGTTTTTGGAACGGCAGGGCCCAGCGATCCCATTCCGCTCCTTTCCCACTGTTTTCATTCCCTTGGGAAGGCAGATGAAGCAGAGAGGAACCAGCCTTTGGCTTTGCCCTCAAGGTCTCAGTTCTGCTCCGTAACCCTGAACTCTCGGTCAGGGATTCCCTGGACTCCTTCCAAGGGGCATTCCCAGGAAACCCGCAATACAAGCAGATGGTCATTTTCTGTTCCCGCTGCTTCCTTGGGCAGCCTTCCCCTCCCCTGAAAGCAATATAAGATGACATGGGATTTCTTAGCTGAACCTTAACCGTGTTACGTGGTTTTTATTATATGAACTCATCGGGCTGCCCTCTCCCGTGTTTGAAGTCCAGGATTGGGAGAGGCAGGAGGAATGAGGGCAGAGCCTGTATGTTTTGGGGACCTTTTCTACCACCCTCTTCTCCCCATGAGAAGGGGAATGGCTGGACAGTCTCCAAAAGAACCTTTTGGAAGAGGAGACGTGACCCTGCGGCACATCTCACATGGCCAAGGCGGGAAAACTTGGGAAAACTCATTCCCGCCCTCCGACAGAGGGGAAAAAACACCTATGGGGCTGGAAAAACCCTTCTGGGGGGGAGCAGCGACCTTCCCTTCCTCCTCCCTATGGCAGAGATCAAAGAGAGCCCTATCCAGCGGGAACGGGGCCGCTGCCAAGCGGAGCAGAACGACCTCGCGTCCGCGCGGGAGACGAGCGGATCGGAGGCTCGGAGCGAGGGCCGTGCAGGACCCGGAGGAGGCACCTTCCCTGGGTGAAACCGTGGCTCCCGAGGCAGCAACGCGCGTGTGGGTCCGTTTCTCCGATACCTCGGGACACGCTATGGAAGTGGAGACGGCGAAAACCAGAATCGTTCTGTTCCTGCTTGAGCTGCTGAAAAATCTGGAAGGAGCCTCGTCGCTCGGGAAGATTTAGAGCTAGGCTGGCCTAAGCGCTGGAAAATCCACGGTAGGGAACAATGCTGCTCCCTGGGGCGGGCTGGTGACCTCATCCTGCCATTACTGCTGCTCGGCTATTGTCCATCGTTTAAAACAAACAGCGTTTAATTGCGTCGCTGCTTAACGAAGGACTGGAGCGGGGCTGCAGCTGAGCAGCTTGGGTGCGGAATTTCGCTGGGAGCAGGGGGCTGTCTGGATCCACGTCTCGTTGGATTGGGAAAGTCAATGCAAGCAATTCGGTTAGGAAACGAGGTTTGGCCCCGTTCCGGCTCCAGGCGAAGGCTGGGAGCGGGTCCCGCGGATCCCGCGGGTTCTCCGTTTCACACCTGGCCACTGCAGGAGATTTGCCGGGATCAGTCTCCCGCATTACCCCGGTAATGACAAAAGCAGACAGAAAAGCTTCGGCAGAGCTGGAATTATCGCTGGCTGAGTCATGTGAAATCTGGGAGTTTTAAGTGTGGAAATCCAGCCTTTCTCCGCAGGCTCCTCCTTCCTCTTCGCCTGCTCTTGCCACCCCCAGGCCCCCCTCCTTTGGACCTGAAACCTGCTCTGAGCCTGATCCGATGGAGTTCATGGTAATTCCGTGTTAACTCCCCCTCCACCCCGTCTTTTTTTTTCTCTCTAATGACACATCTGTGAAAAAAAATCCTCATTGATTTTTTCCTAAGTCGGGCCTGAGCCGCGTGGCTTTGTTTCCGAGACTTTGGTTAGGATCATTGGAAGAGAAGGGAGGAATTTGGGTATCGGTGGGGCACCCCATGCGTTATCCAGCCATCGTCTAAGTGATGCACGGGGGGGTCCAGCCCCTGTTGTAGCTGGAGACGAGCCCTGCTCTGCACAGACCTTGCAGCAGCGTTTCTGTTTGCTTGCAAATCCATGCAACTCCCGTTGACTTGGGGCCCTTGCAGCGTTTGGAGGAGGAGCCCGTTTCCTCCCCGCGCGCACGGGAACGTCCCGGATCGGGAGCCGCCGCCTCCCTCCTGGAGGAGGGAATAGCCGGAATAGTCACCGGGAGCTCCCCTGCGAGTAACGAAGAGGTTCTGCCCGCGGGCAGGATCCGCGATAAAACAGCGCTAGAGCAGCAGCCGCCGAGGCGGAGAGATGGTAATTACTGTGCGCTGCGTTGCAAAGGGCGCTTAACTGCGTGCGTGGGTATATATAGATTTATATATACGGGGCTGGAGCCGCCGGCTTTAGGGATTTCTCCCCGAGGGGGGCACTGTCAGCTGGGCTGTCATCACGTCTGCAGGGCTCAGCGTCGCCTAATGTAGGAGCCTGCCCGTCTCGCTGGTGACAGGTGACATTAGCGAGCAGGGGACGGGGCCTGGCTGCAGGGGAGCAGCCGAGACAGGAACCTGCATCCCCGGAGGTGTCAGGGCGCCAATGTCCTTCATCCTGCCCGTCCTCCTTGCCCCTTCCAGGGAAATGAGCTCGCTTGTAATTTTGTGTGGCCGTAACGCAGTGCTTTGGGCTTAAATAAGAAGTTCCTGAGGTTTTGGGTTTAGGGTTTAGGCTCAAGCGCGTGTGGAAACCCCCGTGCGCTGCCGTGTCTGTGGCCGTTGGGGTTGTGCAGCTCTCTGCATACGAGTGGCTTGAGTGCTTGAAGGTTTAGGGAGAGGTGGGTGCGTTTTGGCCATAAAACAGCACATCTTGGACCATAACGATCGCTGGGCTTGGACCGCGTGGTCCAGGATGGCTTGGACCATAAAGATGGCAGCGGTCAAGTTCAGTGGGTCCAGGATAGGTGTGTGAGATGCTGCATAACCCCCTTCGCCCTCCATTTCTGATCCCTTTGCCTTGTCCCTCTGATTCCCTATAGCATTTTATGGAAAAATAAAAGAAACCCCCCAATCTTTCCGTTCTTAGAAAACTCCCACACCCCTCTGCTGGAGGACGCGGTGACGCAGATGACCCCCGAGGAGCACTACAGGCGCATGATGTCGGCCCTCAACGAGCACGGCACCTTCGAGGAGCAGCAGCAGCAGCAGCGGCTCTACCAGTTGGCCAACAGCATGGCTGTGCCCGGCCACGGAGGTACGGGACGCGGGGACGCTGCGCGGGGACGTCCTGCGGGGCCCCGGTGCTGCAGGACGTGGGGGAGCGCTTGGAGATGCCACGGGCACACGTGGCGTGGGCTGGGGTGGACAACGTTGCCCCTTCTTGGGGATCCTGTGGTTTTTTGGGGGCTGCTCGAATAGGCAGGTGAAGCAAAGTCACCCGAATGTCCCCTCGGAGGGTCAGATTTGTCCCTGGTGTCTGCTGGAAGTAGCTGTGTTGGCAGCACCAAGGGTTAAGCTTCTTCCTGTTAGTTGCATTTGGTTAGAGTGGAAAATCCAAGGCCTGGTTCTGAAGCAGCCTCCGCGTTGGCCGGTGCCGTTGTCCCTGCGGCTGCTTGTGCTGCATCCCGCAGGATGCGGCATCCTCCCGGATCCCGAGCAGCATCCTGAGGGGTGTCTGGCCGTGCCGGGGTCTCCCGGTTCCCCGTGGAGGGACTTGCTGCTGCAGGATGAGCCGGAGCGGCGTGTCCGGAGCGCGGTGCCTGGAGAGGGCACTGGGAAGCGCCGGGAGCCGCTCGCACGGATGCGGATACCCGGCACTGCGCAGCCTCCGCCAGAGCCCTCCAAGTGCTGGCGCTGCCCGGATCAGGCTCAGCAGGGCCTAAGGAAGGGCTGATGCGATTCCAGGCTTGGAAGCATTGGGAAGCATCCACAGAAAACGGATTGGGGCTGCATTTGTCCCCAGTGCGCTGCTCCCTCCCCGGAGAAGGAGCCCAGCAGAGCGGCAGGAACCGGAGGAGACGCGGCCGCGCGCGGCGCAAATCCCCAAGGCTCCTGGCCGGGCTAATGAAGAGGCTGCCGGCCCCTTCCCTCCCCGTGCCGCGGGCTGGGCTCTCCGTGCACCCTGCACCGAGCATCCCCCCGTATCCCTGTGAACATCCCTGTGCCCGGGGCTGTGCAGACCGTGCGGGACACGGCCGGGCACCAACGCACTCAGCTTCCTCGTTACCTTAAAATCCTGGCGTATTTTTTAGGATTCTGATGAATTTGTCCCCTCGGCGCTTACCAAGGGAGGGTCACGCCAAGGTTTTGGGGTGGGAGAAGGAGCCTGCCCAGACACAGACTCTCTTGTGCAACGTCGGCAAGACAAAACCCGGTGCCGTTTGGATTGTCTCCCCACCGCAGGGCTCGGCTTGGGCCATGAATTATTAGTGCCAGTACAAAGCGCAGTTTATCTGCGGGCTCGCATGGAGGCACCAATAACATTAATAATTTACAAAATGTTAATAATTTAAAAATCCCCCTTTTTTTTTTTTTAAATTGCTTTCCTCCCCCCTCCCCCTTCTCCAGCCCCGTTCTCCCAGCGGCATTCCCCCCGCATTCGGACTTCAGCCCGCCTGTGACCGCGGGGCCGCCAGCGGCCCCCTGTCAGTCAAGCTGATTTCCCAACCGGCCGCGCGCCGGGTTGTAAATAACGGAGCCGGGAAGACAGGGATGCGGGGGGCGGCGCGGTCACCGGGGATCAATGCGGCTCCCGGGGCTGGCCGCGTGCCAGGCTGCTAAATTACCAGCACTGTGGCAAGAAGGAGGGACCGGGTTCTGCAGATAATTAATTTATAAACAGCCAAGGTGCCTGGTCCCTGGCTTGGAGATTTCTCTAGGCTTTATTTTGTATTTATTTATTTATTTTTTAATGTGATCTAATGGAGTTTGCTGTTTCGCTCGCCTATCTTTGCGGTGCAGAGCTGTGCATCGTTTTAATGCCCGTGTTTTCCCCCGTGTGCGGGGTGGCGCGTGCGCATGGATGTGGCTGGGAGCGTTCGGGGACCAAAGTGCTGCTCAGAGCAGCTCTGCCAGCGTTTCCATCCCCACGTGCTGTCCCCAGCCCCGAGACCCTCCAAACGTGTTTTCCTTGCTGGGCTCCGGACCGGGTTATTCATGGAGTTATTAAGAAGTTTGTGTCTTTGGATAAACACGGGGCTCTGGCTGCTGCAGAAGAGCAGCCCTTGGGCCCCTCTCAGTGCCACTGCTCCCCGTGTCCTTGTCACTTGTCCCACTCCTGGCTCCACAACCCTGCGCTAGGGAGAAGTGCTGGGCCTGGAAAACCCTCCTGGACCATCCACCCCCGGCTCGGGCAAGGGCTGCAGCATCCCCCAGGATTGGGGGTCTCTGCATGCCCAGGAAAACCCTCACATTCCCCAGGAGATCCCCCAGGATTGGGGGTCTCTGCATGCCCAGGAAAACCCTCACATCCCTCAGGAAATCCTCCAGGATCGGGGGTCTCTGCATGCCCAGGAAAACCCTCACATCCCCAGGAAATCCCGTACGATTGGGGGTCTCTGCATGCCCAGAAAAACTCTCACATCCCCCAGGAAATCCCCCAGGATTGGGGTTCTCTGCATGCCCAGGAAAACCCTCACATCCCTCAGGAAATCCCGCAGGATTGGGGTTCTCTGCATGCCCAGGAAACCCCTCCTCGGTGCTTGGGCGATTCTGGGGGTGGCAGGAAGGCCCCCCTGGCTCTCGCTGCCTTCGGGGCCGCCGGGGGAGCCCTGGGAGCAGCGGCCCAGCCGGGAGAGGCTCCGTCTCCCTCTCCCTCCGCCGGGAAGGCCGTCGGGCAGCAATCCACCCCCTTGCGCGATTCCCTCCACGGGCGGCGGAGGCGGCTCCGCTCG